AAAAAAAAAAAAAAAAAACCTACTCTTCCTTACTCCTGGCACTGAACCAGCTACTGGAACCAAAGTCTATCTGCGTTTATTTTAGCCTACATCACATGTTGAAATAAAAACCTGGAGTCACTTTTCTGTGCAATTCAAGAAATCAAATACGAATTCACTCAAAGTTGCTTTATTTATCTCTTTTGGATTAGAATCATAGGAGATGGCATGTTCTGTGGCTAGTATACTGCAGTTACCCCATTTGTCAGAAAATATCACTGGGCCTTAGGGTATCAGTCAGCACAAAACAGCAAAAGGAAGGAGAGTCTTAAAGTGAAGGGTATAAAGTTGGTACTAGGATTGGAGGGGTATGTATGTCTAGGCCTGTTTATAGTATCAGTTTCAAAGACATGCAGGAGCTACCGGACATAGAGTAGCTTTAAGGTTTTTTATTCATTTCTTTGAAAGGGGTCAGTTATTTTTCTAAGAAGCAATATAGGAGCATTAGAAATCAGCTATCAGTAATGCAACTTGTAGCAGGAGATAGAGTGGAGCTATGATGATGGTGTGAACAGTGCCAAGTGTTAATGGAACATAAACAGATACAGGATAAAGAGTATGGCTTTGGAAAAGACTAATTATGTGGCAGGCAATCAGGATACAAATTATAAAGTAAGCCCTCTTGTTTTACTCGAGTGTGGAATTAGAAATCTTACCATTTCTTATAAAGCCTGTCTCATAAAATATGTACAAATATTGTATTTCAAATAATAGCTAAACTCTTGGGAATATCTGAGATTAAAGGAATGTTTTTAAGTTACCCCATATTTTGCTAAAAAATGTACCTTGAACTCTGCCCAATTTAAAAGGAAAAAGAAGAATAAAAACAAACTGGTGCCAGTTTATGTATTCGGTTCATAATAGTTATTCAGTAAAATAGGATGAGGACCTATAACCTTGAGACTGATTGAATGAAATGGTGGAAAGAGGGATAATGATGGCTTTTTAAAAAATATTTGAAGATTTGAAATGTTTCATGGGGAGCAGACACAAGAATTTTTCTATATGAGCTCAATGGGGTAGAACGAGAACCAGTGGGTGTTAGCTCCAGTAAGACAGATTTTTAACTCAGCATAGTGAATTTCTAACATTCAGAGCAATTCAAACTTTAGATTAGGCTAGCTTAAGAGTAAAGTTATTAGAGGACTTCAACAAAACAGTAGGAAATAAATGTTTAAAATATTGTACCACTTATAACCACCTCAGAAAACATCAGATACATAGGAATAAATTTAACAGTGGAGAGCCTAATCTAAATCTTAGCTTTTTTTTTTTTTACTTACAAGCTGGCTGGGCAATTAGAAATCCATGTGGGAAAAAAACCAAATATTGATGCTTACCTAATACATAGACAAAAAATAAATTTCAGATGGATTGTAGATCTAAACATGAAAGGTAGAACATAAAGTGTCTAGAGGAAAACAAAGGAGACTCACTTCATGATCTTAGAGTAAGCAAAGATTTCTTCAATAGACATATAAAGGATTTCCCATAAAAGAAAAAATAAATCACATATTATTGCAATTACTTCTGTTTTTCAAAAGACCCTATTAAAAGAGGAAAAAGGAAGACACAGAGTGGGAGGAGATATTTGTAATACAGATTTCCA